TTTAAACTGTTTGAGAAATATTTTTTTTATCGAGAATGCCTTTTTATCAATATTGCTTTGTCAGAAGTAGATCATTCCGTTGTTTAGTGTTCTCCTGGGAGATGTGGAAAAGCTTGGAATGAGCCTTGGAGACAGGCAGCCCTTTTTTGTCAGCAGTGTGACCTGACGTATCTCTGAGTCAAAAGTTACAGTCACAGCATGGGATGATCACAAAGAGCTTTATCCTTCAGGTCTTTCCCTTCTTACCAACATGAATGGCTCATCTCTCAGAGTCATTCAAAGGTGGAAATGTTAAAGCCTTTCCAAAAGCCCTCTCTTCACCATCAATATTTTGTGGTTCAGCCAAAAATACCACCCTACGCTCAGATTTGCTTTGAAAACACTCACAACATTTGTCTGGCAAGTGTATTTGGAACACCATCCACTAGGCATCAGTGAAATCCAGGCAGTCAGTGCTATCCTGAGAGTTTGCATGTTGGTGTGAGAGATAAACAGCCTAAAATCATGTGCATTATCAAGCTAATGAAGCAGAAGTTTTAATACATAACTGAATTCCCCAAACTCCCAAATTCCTTTGGCAGCGACATCTCCTGTTACTTTCCACAACAGAAGTATAAAGTGGGGAAAACATTAGAAAGTGAGTGTCTTGTACCCAGAATCAGGACCCCAGGCTCCATCTCTGGCACTGTTTCTCAGATCCTTTTGCCACATGTGGCAGAAGGCAGCACACGGCGGCTCTCCCTGCGGGGCGCAGATCACAGCACGATGACAGTCTGCAGTGCACAGCAGATCAAGGAGCCTTCTTCCAGCAGCACATCAAGAACACTGGAAATTTTATCTGCTGATTTTGTGGTGTTCTCTCACTCTGTTTTCCTGTTCACACAGGAATTTGTGGAAGCGGATAATGTAATGAATCAATGTTAGCATCGTTACCCTGATTTCTCATCAGTAGATGCTTAACATGGAAATTCATTTTTCACTGTTGGATTCCTACTTCTTTCTTCTTGCTTTCCTTTCCCTTCTTGCCCATTGCTTTCCTTTTCCTCTGGACTTTGGTGCATCCTGAAAATGCACAGACATAATAAAGTTTTATGCACAAGACCGGTGTTGGGAGGATTCTGTCTCCAGACAGACAGAGAGCTTCATCAGTTTGAAAAAGCTGAACTAACGTCAAAACAACTACATTTGGTCTACTCAGAGACTGAATTTTAACTCAAAAAAAAAAAAAAAAAAGAAAAGCTCAGATTCACATGCAAACCCATAGGCACACAAACCAACTAACATTTGTTCAAGCACTTCCTAAAACTCTCTAATGAAAACCACATGCAAACAATCAGTTATTGGCACGTACAAGCAATACAGTCATGGACTTCATTGCTCACGAAGGTTTGCACTTCGACCTCAGACTGCTATCCTAAAAATATTGGCTTCATATATGAGAGATCTGCTGTCTTCACGTAGCTATGATTTGCTGTATGAGTGATGGAGAAAATTCCTTGTATTTTTGCTGTTATCTGTGCCTGTGTACTTTAACAGAGACAATTGAAATTTATCCTAAGCACCCTCATCTCCCTTGCTCTGTGTGTAAATGCAGGCTGCCGTGTTGCATGGCTTGAAAACTGTTTTTTCTTCTTATACGTGGTGCATAAGGTGAGGAAGAAATTGAAAGATAGCCCAGCTAAATACTTAAAGTTGGTCTTAGAATATGGCATGTCCTGGCAGAACATGCTGAATACAGCCTGTGGAGTTGCTTAGTAGTAGTAATGATAACAACAACAACAAAAAAATTGTTGTTTATTTATAAAAATAATGAATTTTCAAAGAGTGTTTAATTTATGAAAGCCAGGTTAAATGATAAGACCCATCCTTCTGGGTTCACAAAACACTCCCATTGCATGCAACAGTCACGGATGCTACATTTGATGCTCCCTGTGGTCTGGAAATTGGGATCACAAGGTATGCTGGGATCACAAGAGGACTGCAGGGACTGCTCCCAGCTGGAGTCCCAGCCTTCACCTCTGCCGAGCCTGCCACCACACGTGCAATTAGCATCCATTATATGGCAGTGTTTTTATGATGTGGGTGCATCTCCACCTGGAACAAGTTGAAAAAGCATAAAAGCCATCCAAGTGTTATCAGATGTTATTAACATGGAGCCCACTGAAATCTGGACTACATCTGAACTACTGGCACACAGATGACAAGTCCTACATCCCATTAAGAATTTCCTGAGTCCTCAGACGTACTGCTCGTGCAAAAGGTGCTTGTGAACAAAATGTCATTCTTTGAATGACAAAGCAGAGCATAAGAGGAATGTTTCTGATGGTTTCATTAATGGCTTCCCAGTCCAGACCCAGGATCTTCTTTCTGACACAGTTTTAGCTCTCAGGAGGATTCCTTGCACCGACTTTCTGCCCAGCTGTGACTGCTGCTGGTGAGACCTGTGCTGGAGCCCATCACCCATAACCACTGTGCTGGTTTAAGAAGGGCTCTCCAAGCAAGCTGGCTGCACAAACCTTCCCAAGCCAGAGGAACCAGCCCCCACTGTATTTTCAGTCTCAAGCATCTCTTCACCATATTTATGTCTACACAGAAAATGGCTTTTTTCTCCGCCGCTGCTGTCATTTTCTCCTTCCGACCCTTCTGCCCAAAGATTATTTTTCACTCCTTCCACTCATTCCCATGGTTTCCCTGTGATTCCCACACCACGGATACCCTGCCCTCTGCTCTAAGTGCTCGTGACAGCTTCCATCTTGGCCCAATCAAGGGTGATTGATCCAGCATCCTTCAGCGTCAAGTGCATTTGATCTGTAAAGCTCTCCAGCTGGGGCTGTAATAACTCATATCCGCTGTGGGTTACACATCAAGCAGCTCTTTCCCCATCAGTCACGTCTTTCCTGATAGAAGAGTTCTTCAATGAAGCCCCTCACATCTAATCCACCATCTCATGCAGATCATGATGGGGAAAATTTATGAAAAGCAATATTTTGTACTGCTTTGAAGCAAACAAAGCTGATCTCCATGTCAATTATGTTGAATAAAAACTTCTGTGGGCAGAGACTGTGAATTCTTCCGGGATTTAGTCCATGATAAGAACAGTCAAATCATAAATATTTATGCACTAAGTGAGCCCTTACTCACTACTTTGTTTCATTTTCGTTAGCTCTGTGACTATATTTACTGTATTTACATTCAGATCCTGCTCTGCAGTGTGAACTGCTGCTGTCCCTGTCAGCCCAGGGCTGCTGCACACTGCTCTGCCATCTGGATTCTGGCTCCCAACCCTGAGAGTGAGAGAATCAGGCCCAGATATTCCTTCTTGTGTGGGATCACTGTTTCAGTGCACCTGAACAAAAGACATAAATACAATTTTATACCTGACAATGCAATGTGTGTCCAACTCTCCACTCTCCTTTAGGTTCATGACACAAGCCAAATGACCACATTACTTTTACTGAAGACTGGCTGTGTTGTATTGCCTAAATCACAATTTTTAGTGATATATTTTGCACAATCAGACCAGAGTGGTTTGTCTACCTGGGACACAAATATGAAATTAAATATCTATTCAGGCATTAGATTTGCTGAGTGGCTTTTTAGCTCTATAGCAATATGTTTCTATGCATTACAGGCATGGAAATCAGGCCATGACAGGATGGACAGAATACTTTCTGTCTCTGAGGGATAGCAGATTGCAAAGGAAGAAAACAAAGACAGCAAAATCTGGAGAGAGGGTTCTCCTCATCTCCCAGTTTAGAACTCAGTGATTATTGAGCCAGAATTGTTATCTTTGGATTTTTTATAATTGTTTTTAATGGGTTTTTTTTCATGGTTTTGTCCCATCTCTCATTGATCTAATGGGAACTTTTACTTGCCACATCCTCCCATGACAAGGAATAGCTACAGCTTAATTATATCTTGTGTGAAGCACCATTTTCTCATCTTTCTCTTTCTTTTATTAAGCCTGTCACATGTGGGATTCATTTGTCAGTCCCAGCTCTCACAATGAGAGATGTTTGAAAATCATTCCATCATTCCTTGTTTCCCTTCTCCGAGCCCCTGTAATGTTACACTTCTCTCCATCAGCCTCTCACCTCTTTCCAGACTAGAGAGCCACGGTTCATGTCCTGTATGGAAGTTGTTCCCTACCTTTGCTCATCCTTTACCCTGGCCTATAGACTCCTTTTCCAAATTTACATATCCTTTGGGAGGTGAAGGACCAGAGCTGTGCACAGTATTCAACAGTCAGGTGAGTTATTGGTTTATAGAGGGTAATGGTTATGTGATTTGTTCCTTCTCCTTGTAAAAAATCAATTTTTATCCTCCTTAACTGACAGATTCTATAGGAAAGAAAGCTGTTTACTGCCATCCCTTGGCCATAACTAGAATGATTTGGTGCAGAATTTCTATTGTAAATACAGCCAAAATGCCCTAAATCCATGAAGTAAATGGGAAGGTATAAAGGTACCGTGCCAATGAGAAATATATTGGGCATAAATTCAGGATTAGCTGCTCTCCATAAATGAGATCCCACTGATATGACAGAAACAAATTAAATTACATACAAACCAGTTATTAAAAATGTTGACAGGTTTAGAATATCACAAGGAAAACCTTGAGGGGCAGGAAGTATAATTACTTGATCCAAAGCCTATGATATCATGCAAGTCCTTTCATTAACTTCTGAAAACTTTGACAGGGTACCAAAGCTCTACACTGATTTTAATTTGAAGACACAAAATTAGGTTATATGAGAATAATGATATGAATGGAGGGACTTTCTACATAAGGCCAAAATCACAGCAAACATGACAGAATTAACTGAAGTTTCTTCCAACTTCTGTAGTTTTTATTTTTATTTTTATAAAACACTTTTCTATTTACCATCAGTCATTATATATCTTGCATATCATCAATGCTTAATTGCATCTAATTATTATATTATATATATATATATATATATGTACATACTGCCACATACATGGAGTGCAACAGATATACTTGAATGTATAAATATCCTGCAAATCTCAGCTCCAACTGGTAAATTTCCTGATGGAGAATATTCTGTACATTCTGTCATAATCAAGCATTTTTTAGTATCTAGAGTTTTTCACATTTAGTGGACATGCATATCATCTACAAGTTAAAAGGTGGTTAATTAAAGTTAGTGGGTTTTTTTATATCAATTATATATTTTTATTCTAAGTTATTGGTTTTAACAAAAAGCTATTATTGACAATTCAAATTATTAATAATATAAGCAAAATCTTGAAGAAAGAATGATATTCTCATTTTAATGTGCTCCACAATTGTATAATTACAGGATCCTCCCCACATCTCAGTGAAACAGGTGAGCTCCTCCTTCTGCAGGTGGGTCAAGTGGAGCAGTCTGTGCAGAGTGAAACGTGGGTGAGGAGTGGGGTCAGTGTCCAACATGCTCCTGTACCAGCAGGGACGTGGAGCATCACTCCAGGGCTGCAGCCACTCCAGGATTCCATGTGCCTTCTCCAGACCCCACCAAGGAGCAGAACTTGCCCTGAGCAGCTCGGGAGAGGGACACTGTGGGACACACACTGACTCCAGGCTGAGCAAAGTCACCACGAGTCGTGATGGGGCAGGAGCGGTTCCAACCCTGAGCAGATCAGCAGTTCTCCGAGTGGTTTCTGAGAGATGGGAAAATGTGGTGTCCTTCCTTTCCATGGAACATTTCCCTGAGCTGTACACGGTGTTTGCCGTGGCACACCTCTCCTCCCCAGCTCTCTCTGATGGTGAGCAGATGGCAGCAGCAAGGTGTCCCAGCTCAGGACAGACAGCCACAGCCACGCTGGCCCTGGCTGCAGAGAAGGTGCAGGACAGGAGAACTGGGCCTTGCTTGGACAAGAACTGAAAACAAAACTCCTGAATTGGCTTGCAGTGGCAGGGGGGACAGAAAGGCTGCAGAAAGTCAGAGCTTTGCAAAATATGTCAGGGAGAGCCTTCAGCTTCTTCCTCATGCAGCATCTGTGATTATTCAGAAGGGACCACTTTGGAAAATATTCCCTGGAGATGCCTTCACCAAGTGCTTCCAGAGGTGTTCAGCCATTTCACAGTCATTTCTCAGAGGAAATCAGGTTAAAATATGGCATCTGCCAGCCCAAGGCAGAAATGCACAGAAAGAATTTCATCTCATTGCAGTGGCCAGTGCTGACAAGTGAAGGAGAAATGACTGCTCTTATTTTGGATATATCTTCTTTGATGGCATATTTTTCTCTGCACAAAATGAAATCACCTTTTTATACAGGACAATTAAACGGTCTTGGCCCAGCTTAAAAGCAATGAAGACAATTTCCATGCCAATTATAATGTAGAGGGAAAAAAACAAGAAAAACTTGGGATGTTCTAGTTTTGTATCTCCAAATCCAATAGTGGTCAAAGTGATAAAGCAGAAATAAAAGGCTTCTTGAAAATCCATACTTTTTTCCCAGTTTGGAAGAATAGCAGCTGCACAGGAGATGTACACAAAGATAACAAACACCATCAATACAATGGGCACATCTAATTTTTCTAACTCTTTTCCTATTTTGTCAAAATTCTTGATAACTCTGGACACTGTCTTTTCCCTGGCTAGTTCAGGACATGAACTCCATCTCTCCATGCTTTTATTTCTTGCTGGTTGTGTGTTTTCATTCTCCCTGGCAATTAGAATTTCAAAAAGTTCCACGTTGCGATATTTGACTGGTTTCATACCTGACTGACTTCTCAGCAGTTCCATAATGGTCAGGGGCTCGCTGATGACTATTTTAGACTCTGACCTGGATTTCAGTTCATTCCTTTTGCTACACGTGGATCCAGAACAGAGTTTAGAGGCAAAAATTTTTGACTGCAATTTCCTGAACTTGTTGTAGGATTTGGATAAGACAGTTGCAAGGATGTCTCCCATGTCTGTCAGGACCAAGAACATCAGAGGGATCCCAAATAAAGCATACAACATACAGAGATACTTCCCACTCCGTGTCACAGGATAGGTATTACCATAGCCTTCAACAAGAACAAGAAAGAGAGAGATTTGATACATAAAATGGTAGCAGAAGATATGCCCTTTCCCTAAATCCAATTTGGGTATTTATATTTCCTTCCTCTAACATATTGGATATGAAACTCAAGTTGTAAATCAGTGCTTTTCCATTGTAGTAGGAGAAAGCATTGGTATTACAGTAACTGTATTCAATTCTAACAACCATTTTTCTCTTCATCCTTCAGAAGACATTGAGTATTCCTTCTCTCCTTTCAAAAACTCTGTTTTTTGCCAAGATGAGCTTCTAGACCAAGTACTTACCCTGTCAGATTGTTATCTCACGTGCTAAGGTATGGCTTCCCTCATTTTCTTCATCCATGCATGTTCTCACTTGAGAACACAAGTTCTCAAGTGAGCTGCCACAGCCTTTGTTCTGAACCCAGCCTCAGTCCCTGCTTTGCTGTGAAGCACTGAAATACCATTTATTCTTGGTCACTCTCTTCCCCACAGGCTAGCTGGGAATGCTAATCTTTACTGTCAAAGCACTTGGGGAAGATTATTATCATTCTTGCATAGAGTGATCTTATTTATTATTTTTTAAATTGTTTTCCGTGTATTAAAAATACCTTGTGTATTTTCCAGGCTTAAAACTTATCCTGAGCTTAAATTAAGCTATCCAGAAGTCTATCCTAGCTGAGCCACTATGTATTCTCACCAGGCAGTGAAGAGATGGCAGTTCAGACCATCAAGCTTCAGACTAGATGCCTCAATTCTCCCAGAAAATTCAAGGCAGGTAATTTGATTCTATCCCAAGATGATTTATCAGTTCCTGATACTGCAAGTAACAAACTCACTGCAATGGAAATAGCCACCTATTCCATCTATTAGCAGCAAATATTCCAGGCTTTCTACTGATCCCAAAACTCAGGTCAAAACTGAGAAAGAAGCTTTAATACTCAGTGCTATGAAGGCAAAAAGTGCTGGCAGTTTAGAAATAAATATGTTGGGTTGGTGTGTATGGGGACATTTGTCAAGTCCCATGCTAATGGAGGTGGGTAAATATACCCAGGGAAGGCTTTTCCAACACTATGCCCTTTCATCAGTTTGCTGATGCCAAAGCTTTCTGATAAAATATCCCTTTTCAAAAGTTCTTGACTGTTGTGTTTGTTACAGGAAATATTCACAGGGATGAGGATTTTGGTCACATCCCCAGTGTGTCTCTGACCATGCAGACTTCAATCTTTAAACTGCAAGAAGCTGAGTTTGAACAGTCACCCAAGAGATGAGAGTGTGAGGTTTGAGCAGTGACACAGCACACAAGAGCTCTGGGTGAGTACATCAGCTCTCACACTGTTCCTTGTGCAGGATAAGCTCTTTTTTAAGGTTCAGTTTTTCTTTTACAGTAGGATTCATCCCCATGCTGGGATCTTGAGCATATCTTACTGCAGTGCAGAAATGTCTTTTCAATTTGATACTATGCTGTGGGAATATTTCCCATTCAGCTTTGATTATGAAAAATTTGGATAGACAGTGCCTGTACTTGCCAGCATTTGAGAAAGATTAAAAAGGGGATAAAAGTAGCTTTGGGAATGAGCATGAGGAGTTGTATTTAGCAATGCAGAGGGAGCCAAAATCAAAGCAGATGTTTGTATTTGATCTAGATCCTCCTTTGAAATATGAAGTCAGACTGAAAGGTTTCAAAGGTGTGACTTAAACACTATCATGTGCTGTTAACCCAGAGAAATGTGAACACGGTGGTTAATTACAGAACCACAGATTAACACAGCTGAATTAGACATAAGTAACTGAGAAGCAATTAAAAAACAATATATGCATTGGGAATTACCTTTTCCAGAGAAGAAATCATTACCCAAGAGGATATACAACAGTGGGAAGGATAAGGTTTGACTGAAAAATTGAGATTTCTTTTTAGTTCAATAGCTCTGTGAACATCATCTATAAATACATATTATAGTGTAAGTCTAATGATGCAGTTAATTAGTGTGTACCATCACTAGTTACTAAATTGTGACTTGTTTCTGTGACTCAGTTGTGTCTCTGCAATCTGTGCTTGCAGAGTCACTTGCAGGCTCATCAGAAATACTTGGGAGAAAAATTCAAAGGGATTTGGGCTTTGGGTTTAGAAGGGGTGGGTTTGATTGTTTGTTTGTTTGTTTGTTTAGGGTGGTTTTAATTCTCTGGAAAAAAAATGCATTAGAGAAAGCAGCAATAGGAATTTATTCTGAAGGGTGTTACTTTACCTCTGTACTTACCCACAGTTGTGAACACTGTGCAGCAAAAAAAGAGAGACCCAAAGAAATTCCATCTTTCTTCTGGATTGATAAACCAGACTGGGTCAGCTGTGCTGAAAAGCTCACGGATTTCGGCATTAAACTTCTCATTTTCCGTCACGTTATCTGTCACAGTCACAGCAGGAGGCATGGTGAGTGTTTGCAGACCAGCACTCAGGGAGCAGCCTGCCTGTGTCTCCAGTGAAATATACTCCTACTGAGGATTTGCTTATATTCTCTTAAAAGATAAAAATATTCACCTTCTCACCCTCTCCTTTCAAGCCCCTCACCTCCACCTCCGAAAAAAATCAGGTGGGTTCAGTGACTTTGGTGAATAAAAGTACAGGGAAAAAATAAACATAAATATAAAGAAGCAGGACAAGATGATTGAGTAACCAGGTTCCAGCCTTAATGTCCTGTTTCATTTTGGACTTGCCAGGAGATTAGTCTTCTTTTGACCCAAAGACATTAAGAAATGTGGGGTCAACAGTAGGGAAGCGATATGAACCACTTGGATGTCACTGCCCAGAGCCCTGCTGTGAATCCTGCAACCCTTCTTCCTCCTCCCTGTGGCTGAGCTTGGCTGCAAAGGACATTATTTACATTATTTAATTGCCCAAAACTGATCATTGTGTCAGCACAGCTACCTGAGCGAAACTCCAAGCCTATGTACAAGCCTCATCACAAATCCAGGAGGATTTCTAACCCTGCTTTTCTCCTCTACCCCCTCCAATCAGCATCACTGGGTCTGGGGTGCAGAACTGCACCTGTGTGCCTCTGAGCATCCCCTCACCAGAGGGCTGGCAGGGAAGCTCAGAGCAGGGAAGAGGCAGCTGGAGAAACTTTCTGAGAGAGGATTCAGCTCCCATCAAGCTGAAGGAAATACCACAGGAATCTCAGCTGCTCATTAAGAACCTGGGCAAAAAGGGAGAACACAGGCAACTCAAGAAAATTCTTTCCAGGCAGGAACACAAGGATTGGGAAAGCTTGCAGTCAAAAATCACAGCTAAGGAAGAAAGCAGCAGTTGTTAGCTAGGCAGACGGAAAATCCTGTTTGCGGGGTATTTTGCAGAATGTCTTCAAAAGCAAAAAAATCTCATTCAAAACACAAGAGAATGAATAGCTCCCTGTACACTTAAGTAATTCTGAAATTCCAGTACATACCTGATAACTCCCTGGTGAGGTTCATCAGGTTCTGCAGAAATGTTCTGTATTCTTCACTTACTGTGACCTCCTGGGTACCTTCCATGAGGGAAAACAAGAGAGCCCCAAGAAAAGCATAGATGACAAGAGACAGAATGAAGCAGGCATGAGGAAACACTGCCCAAAATATTTTTTCACATGTCGTTTTACCTCGCAGAGGCTGTGATCTTGTTGCCATCCTAAGCTTGTCCTTTTTTTTTTTTAATATATAATTTTGTGAAGCAGACACAGCTTTTAGAAAGAAAGATGAGGATGTAAAAGCTTTTGCAGCCAAGAAAAGCTTCTCCTGTGAAAACAAGGATTGTTCTGCCTCAGGCTTTCAGATCACATGTCTTTATAAGTGAAGATTGCTCTACAGTCCCCACGGACACGAAGCACAACTGATCAAACCCTGAAATATTTCTCAGTTGACGCCACGCCACTCTATCCCTGAATTATTATTGATCAGCCAGCACTGTAATGCACATGGATTACCAGCTCCTATCAGCTTCCACTGGAGCCAACTCATGCCTAAAGTTTCTTCTCCTGAGCAACAGCTTCCCATTGATAGAGCAGAAACACTTCCAACTCCCAGAAGGGGAAATGTGCACTCTAAGGGATGGAGCTCTTTAAAGATTTCTCCCAGAAACAAACAGGAACATTTAAAATTAATCAAGAGAAGGGGATGGCTCTAATTGAAACCCCTGGGCAGACCATAGAACAATTAATTTCTCTTTCAGAGAGCTTACAGAATCACTCAATCTTTGTAGAGAGGGTCTTTTGAATTTTAAATTCTTTTTCTCCCAAGATAAAATAAAATAAAAATAGTCAAGAAGGTTTCTCCTAGTTCTCACTTGAATAAAATCTTCCTATATAAAGAGAAGTTTCAGTTATGAAATTCCCACTGGCCTTAGTAAGTCAGAACGGCAAGATTCAGTTCAGAGTTAGTGATCTTTGCAAACTATTTCCAATTTTAAAAATAAAGCCTTTCTTTTCATCCTTCACTATAAAACACTTGGAGCAACAAGCAGTATCACTGCCCTTTGCAATTTTTGTAGTGGTAGTAAGGGGAGTTGGACTTTAAAGAAAGAGGTGTTAAATATTTCACCTCCAGGCACCTTTCATTAAAAATTGAAACAGTCTTGTGCAGCCAAGACCTACTGAGCTGTATATATGGAACAAGTCCACACGTCCACACAGAAATCCTACATGCTTACAGTGATTTCTTCTAGGTCAAACTCTCACTAAATTCCATCAGAAGATAGTTTATGTTCATCAGTATGCAAGTCTCCACTATAAAAAAATAGACTTTTAGGGCTAAGACAAAAATAAGCCTGTGTGCTTGCTATTTTTCTTGTTGCCTGCCTTGTTTGCTCAGTCTTGCTTTTTGGCAACAGATTTTAAAATCCTCTTATTGCAGTCATTCTCTGTTTTATTTTGTTTCCCCACTGACCTGAAACACAGGGTTAAAAACTGCTAATGTTCATAATTAGTCAAAAGCAACAGAACTTCCTGAGAGGTCGTACTTGGAGATAATGTACATAGGTCTGGTGTCCTTTATGCTGGGAATTGTTACAGTGGAGACTGAAACGTTGGACAGCTGTTTACTGCTCTCAAGTAGCACAGTTAAAAACGGGGAAAATTTCAAAAGCAGCAAGAATGGCTGAAGGTGTGGACAACTTTCAGACAGAGAATGACTGAGCAGTCATTGGTCAGGGGGTAAAAATTGTGACTGAGGAGCTATCTTCAGTCTCCCAGGTGTTCTGGAGAGTAGGGGAGGGAGCAGCTCTCTGTAGAAGCAGGATTGAGGAACATCAAAAGGAGCAAGTAGAAACCTGCTTCAAACCAAACAAGGATTGTTTCTCACACAGCTAGAATAGTCTTTGCCAAAGGTTGTTGGGTTTCCATACATGAGAGAGAACAGAGAGATGTTTAGAACAGCCATTGGTACTGACTACAAACACACAGGGCTCAATAACCCCCCTGAACTGAAAATAGCTTGCAGCTGTAAAAATAAGATGGGGTACTGGGCCAATGGGCCCCTGTCTGAGGCAACATATTCACACTGATGTTCTAAAAAAGATTTTCACTGACCAGTATGGTAATTCTGATACAATTTGTCCTGCACAGTTTTTCATCTGCAACTCAGATATAAACATCTTTCCTACAAAGTGCTTTAAAATCTTCTCAGCCTCCTCCTACACATGGTACTTCAAAGTATTTAGCAATTCCCAGGAGCTTCTCAGCCATTTGCAGCATCAGGCTCTGAGCTTGCGACAACAAGAAAATTTAATAAAAATAAAACCAGAAATGATTTTTACATTATTTGCTTAATCTAAACCATTTCCCACTATTGCTGTATTACATATTTGGACTTAGTTGCTTAAAAGCAAATCCCACGAACCACAAGTTATTCCAAATTGAGTTACTGGTACTTGTGTTGAGAGAGACTTTTGCAATACACATTTCCTATCCACATTAATGGACAGCAAACCTGCACTTGTCCCAGCTTCCATTTCTTTGATTAGGGCAAATGTGAGTGCTCTGTAAGGTGCTGCTTGAAAGGGAAGTTTTTGACCACAGCTGCAAGGTTAAATAATTCCAGTAAAAATATACTTATGATTAAATTGATATTTTATCTGATATTTCTGGATTACATGGGTTAAACCTAGAGGGTGATTGTTTGGGCAGAGAGAAACGTTTTTCAATAATCAGTAAAACTCTTCCTGCATTAAGTCATCTGCTATGTTGCCAAAGACCTGCTGTGTTATCTCCTCTATGAAACACCACTGGATTCACCATTCTGTACTGACAAAGATGTAATGTCATCCTCTTTAAGAGAAAATCAAAGTGACTTGGAGGATGACAGTGCTTTTTAAAAATAAATGGCAATGGGTTAAATGGTTTGCTTTTATTTACACCTGGCATTGATTCTGAAGGGAATATTGTTTGGTAGAGGACTGAGACCTCAGCCTGGCAGCACCTCATGACAAGGAGAATTAAAAACATTCCATTCGAGGTCGAATGTTAACAAGGATCATGGAAGATTTGATCCATTGCCCTACTATAGGCCCCTGGAAAGTATTTCCAGAATGCATTAATATACCTAAGCTCCCCAAAAAAATGAATGTTTTGGTATAATGGTGATATCACCTCCAAGCGCCGAAAACCAGCAAAAAATGAGTGGCAGCAGCAGTTGCATTAAGGAAGCAATCTCAGGGCTGTGTAAGCATTAGATTTGATCCCAAGACATAAGGACACACCACTTGAGGTCAGCTGGGTGGGTGACGCCAGTGAAGTTTCATTTTAGTGCCCTCAGCGCTTGCAAAAGACTCCTCCCACAATGGTTATCCCAATCCCTCCCAGCTCTGGGGCTCTTTGGGGCCTGTCTCTGTGGGATTTCAGCCCAGGAGCAGTGCTGGCCCAAGCCCAGCCCCAGCACAGACATGTGAGAGCAAATGCACCCTGCCAGATGAGCCACACCAGCTTTTAAGGCACTCTGCAAATATTTTTCTCCTCACAACCCCATATTCCATATTGCCCTGGAATAAGAATTCCCCTGACACCTCCCATTCTTACCACTGTGCCCTCACACCTCACATTGCTGGGATGGAGAGAGAAATGCACAAACTGGGGCTGTAGAGTGTGTTGGACACCCCAGGGAAGGTTTAGTTTTCTTTGAATCCATCTTTAAAAGTCTCAGCTTTTGCTTGAGTAGAGTGCTTGAGCTTGTAACCTCTGGGAATATTTGAGAGCACTCAGGACTAACATCCTGACACCACATAGAATGCTAAGTGCTTTCAAAGATGTCCAGGACTCTCACCCTGAATAGGAGAATTTCCTATTTCACTCTGTGCTCACACCAAAGCCAAGCAATGGTCCCATCATTTCACTTAAGAGAGAAAAACACTCTCAGTGTGCCCCAGGACCAGCCAAGGCTTGGGTATTAGTTTCTGTTCCTCCTCTTTC